ATGTATGCCACCTTGAGAATCTTAATAGAAGAAAGGTGGAGTCTTAATAAATATACATATTTATATACATACATACATACATACATACATACATACATATATACATATACATGCATGCATCCATCTTTTAAAAGCACCCTGGAATCCTTTGCAAATGAAATGCTTATCAGATTAGAAGAGGTGCTATTCAGTAAGAAGCACTCCTTGGCGGCCCTTCATTTCTAAACATATTCCCCTTGGATATATGTGTGTTCTTGGAATATGCATATAAGGTTTGCAAAATAATCTGATCTCTCAAGGGAACAGATTAGTTGAGCAGAACCAGTGCTTGCTCAAATATATCACTGAGCCTCAGCAAGACAGCCATGACAACTGGGGTTCACAAGCAACCATTTCACATTTCCATAAATGTGGGGTGTGGAGGCACATGGGGGGTGCAGGGCAGGTGGAGAGAGGAAGTCCCATTTCATGAATGGGAGTCGTTCTGCTCATGCAATGACTTTGCTGGATTCAATCCATTGTGTTCAACACTTCACAAATGTGGAGATCCTCTCACATAGCAATGGACATGAAAAGATCTGAGAACCGGGACCAGAAGGAGGAGATTGTGGGAAATGGTCTGAATGCAAGCTTGAGCAGACAGTTTTTCTCCCTTAGAGTTCAGCCCATTTTTTTCCTTATAGTCTCTTTGGCAGTTGCTCTAGAAGCATTTTCAGCTCCAGTTGTTTATTTTCTTCATTCATTTGGTTGCAGAGAGGAGGGGGAGTAAGAGAAATACCAGCAGTTGCCTCAAGGAGGCTGACATGCTATTTGGCTGAGAAGTGAAAAGAAGTAGAGAGGGAAGGATGTTTTCTGTCTCCCTCCTCATGTTTCCCAGGAATTCACCAAAATGCATAGACATCCCCACACATTTCCTGCTTTCAGATGTGAAGGGAAGAAAAAGAGAGGAGGGAGGGGGGAAGACCGTTGTTTTCACTAAGAAAACCAACTAGCATATTTAGGAAGAAGAACCATAATTCAGTGGCAGAACATCTGTCTTGGATGCAGACAGTCCAAGCTTCACTTTTTTGACATCTCTAAGTAGCACTGGCAGAGGCCTAGTCTGAAATCTTGGAGAGTGTTAACGGAAATTCAAGGGTCCTCTTGGGCAAATGAAGACACCGACCAGAGCAAGTCAGAGCAAAACAGCAGCCAGTAGGCTCGGTCTTTATTTAGAAAGACTGTCGCGACAGGACTCCCACCGCCCACAAGGTGAAGCAAAATGGAAGCCTCGAACAAAGGGAGACCCTAACTTTTATTAGTTGCTAATCCCCTAAGCTACACCCTCAGAATTACATCACATTTTACATCACGATTATATTAAAAAATAGGAGGGGTTGGGGAGGGGCCGCGCAGGTAACCCGAGTGTCCTGACACCTGGCCGGAGCCCCCTTCCCCCTCCCCGCATGAGTCATATACGAAAACAAAGGAAGAGGGTAAAGTTTCCTGCCCCCTGAGGAGAGTCCGAATCACAGTCTTTTGTGTATGTCTGCGCGGAATACACCAAGATATGCAGTTCATTGTGTCTTTGATAGCCTCCTGTCTGAGCCGATCACTGATGGCTATCAAGGTGGTTACGTCTAGTAGGAAGGAACACAGAGTACGTGACTGCTCGGGTTAAGGGATTATGGCCCGCTTTGATTTCGGGACCACCCCCCTTTGATAGTCTTTGTAAATATCCAGCAGAATAAAAGTGGTCCGGTGAAAATCCGAAGTACGGGCTGATTTTTAGTGAATTTATGAAAGAATATTGTCTTTGAAGTTCAAAGCACTTTCGCTTTCAGGAAGAAGGGCTTGCTACATTTTGATTAAATCAGTCACGGTCAATTGAACTCGGAAACCTTGTTATTGAGAGCTGTCAAAGGTAAGGGGGAAGGAGCGGCAGTAGCCTGCAGTACCCGCGTGGCCGCCGCAAGGGGCGCTGTTCGGTAATGTTGATTGGCTGAGGCGGGCCGCCGGATTGGACAGCAAGTAGTTGGCTGCTGCTCTCCAGGGCCTTCAGGTGGCATGGTGGGGGTCTCTCCCAGCCCTCCTTGCAGATACCAGTGAGGATTTGCCTGCAACATAAATGCTCTTGCCTCTGAACTTGAACACTGACTCTCCAGGATTTGGGCCCTGGATCTGCACACTAGACTTCTGTGGAGGCAGCCGAGAAGAGCATTCGCCTTTTTTGCTGCTGCTGCTGCTGCTGCTGCTACATCACAGCATTAAGCTTCTGGTCTTCGCTCGCCTCCCTCCCCAGCCTAGCCCATTCCCTGCTAGGTTGCATCTGTCCATGGAGGTCCCCCTGCAAGAGCTATGCTTCTCAGCAATACTGGCATCCTGTCCTGCATTTACTCAAGTGGAAAATCCCACGTTGTCCCCTGCCCCCCCCCCCGCCCATGCTCACTGCCAAGGATTTTGCTGCACTTGCCTGTGCTTTTGCTGGTTTTGTAAACTGCTTTGAGGTTTTTTGTTCTACAATCAAGCAACACATACTTTTCATGAAATAGTGAAATGGAAACATGGCCACCTGCCCAACCTGAGGAGGTGTGTGCAGATCTCCAAAAACAGATTGGGTTTTCGTTGGAAGGGGACAACACCTGCTTCTGGTGCTCGTGAGCAACAGTGAGTGAGTGTCAGTTGCAATCAAAGTGTATTTCCTGCATTGCAGGGGTGGGCTGGATGACCCTTAGGGATCTCTGAAGCCTACAATTCTCTAGAATCTGAGGCAAACTGACAGCGTGTTTAGCTTGGGTGTTGGTGCCAAATGAAGGCCTTTCTGTGGCAAATAGCCTGGATTGGCATAGATTTTTTTCTTTGGGCCTTTCCCTGAACCCATAAATTTGGGACTTGCTTCCAGAAAAATGTGCAGGACAGACCTGCAGCCATTCCATGTAAAGACAAAAGACAAAAAAAAAAGAAAAAAAGACCTCTATGCTGACTTGCCCGTTTCAGGATAGTTTCACCCAGGTTCTAAAATGTCACATTGATCTCAACAAAATTCTTTTCAAGTTAGTGTGCATATAGCCATAGCCTTGTATTATTGTTAAGTTTGCTTCAGATGATTCAGTTGGTTTCACTTCTGCCCTGTGTGTTTGCCAAAGGACTGGCAGTGGACTTTTTCGCCTGTTCTTAAAGACCACAAAGACCACAGAGAGAGCAACTTGCGTAGGGGAAACTTCTGCACCAAACACATCAGCGAACCCAATGCACCCAGGTATCTCTCCTCGTGTGAGATAGAGAGTGGTTGCCAGTCAGTGCAGAACAGCCTTTCTCCACCTTGGGTCACCCAATGTTGTGGGAATACAAGGCCCATCATCCCTGACCACTGGTCCTGCTAATGAGGTCCTGACCACTGGTGGTTTGGGCATGCTGCAGGCCCTGTGGTGAGTGCCGCCCAGCATTTTGTCACCCTCCTCAGTGGTGACGCCCAGGGTGGCACACACCCACTGCACCCCCTTCCTCCGCCCTTGCCTGCAGAGACAATGGAATGCATCCCTCCTGTCATAACCCTGTTTTTATCAAGGGACAGAGTTAAGAGCTTTCAGCAGCAGTAGCAACCTCCAAGGATGCTGTGTTTTGATAATCAGTTGGTGTTTGTCTCAGGCTGCTTTGGGCACCATTCAGTGCAGTGACATAGCATATGAGCACACTCAACTAAACTTGCCATTTGTGGGCACTCTCAGTTGGCATCTCTGTGGTTGGCAATGAAGGGAAAACAGAACTGAGATGTCTGTAAGAAGCTGGTGAGGTGGGCAAGGGGGCTTGGCTTAGCTCAGGCAAGGGACTGTTGGATGGTTTCCTTAAGTACAACTGATAGCCAGTTTGGATGAAGAGCAAAGAACTGAAGAGGTTGTGCCTCAACCTACCAGGCACTTTCTTGGCAGAAACAGTGATGTCACAGAGGGGTGCGTGAAATGGGTACCTTAGGGGGTATGGAAATCAGCAGCTCTGCAACTTACATCCGTTGGAGAGGTTGGGCCTCTGAGCACCCCAAGTGCCTCACTTCACAAACAGGCAGACTTCAGAGCCAGCTCTAGGTGGGTGCTGGTGTGGTGGGTTCTTTCATGGAGCTTTGACTGTGTTAGGCCGTGGAAGGCCGGGATGCTAACGAAACTGCTCCATGGAGTAAATATTGTGGGAGTTTAGAAATCAAATCTAAAATGCATATTCTTACTAGTAAGCAAGTGTGGGGATTAAAATCACAGAGCAGTATTGCTGTTAGGTGGACTCAGATCAATGCAATTGGTAGAGAAGGCTCTGTGTTATTTCATTTCCCCTCCTCTCTTGGTAGGGAAGAAGAAGAAAAGTATTTTCTGTTCCTTCTCTCTCTCTCTCTCTCTCTCTCTCTCTCTCTCTCTCTCTCTCTCTCCAACCAGCCAATGGGAGAAGACTTGTATCTGCTTGCTCCAGCATCAGGCTCGTGCCTGAGGCTGCTTTCACTGTAAATACAAGTACTTTACCTGCATTTATTTTTACTGCTGTTGTTGCTAAGGACAGGTGCTTGACTGTGAGTAAACTATATGTTTTAACCATACTTTTCAGTCGGTGGCCTGTTTCTATAATAAACAGGGTAACAGAAGGGGGAGATCAGCCTAAAGGCTTTTGTTTTTACTGTTTAAGATGCTCATCACTGTGCTTCTAAACACAAGCGATAAGCTGATGTTTTGTCTGTTGGCCAGGTTTGTGGAGGAATAAAATATAGTTAACATATTCCCTCACCTACATGGTAAACCCTAACCAACATCTACCATAATGTGAAATCAAGCCATTCCAGGAGGTGTGCCGGAAGCTGAGGAGTGAGGGAGCAAATCATTCGATTCTGCTCCCTTGCCTCAGCCATGATCCCCTGGTGGTGGGCAGACTGGGGGGTAGACTTCCTAGAAGCCTTCTCTTCCACAGTAGCCAGGCCTGTATAGTCATTGCATTGCTGGTGGTGCCAGATCACAGGGTCTTTCTCAGAGCAGCGAGATACCAGGTCAGAGCTCAATCTGGCTTTATTGCTCTTCAGTTGTTGGCAATTGTGTAGTGGATCCAGTCTTCAAAGATGCAGACCTTGGTGTACAGCCCCAGCCGATTCTCTTCACTGCAGCTTTTCTTCCAGGACAGCAGTCCTTGGAGGGCTTCTTCACACACCAGGGGGCTGCCCACATCTCCCTAAGACATAGACAACAGCATTGGGACTCTCCAGGGGACAGGATCAAATCATGGCAATTTCTCACTGTCGTTATTTGAACTCTCAGGCCCTGGAGCACTGCCTGCAGCAGGAGAGAGGGAGCTGTGTGAGGCTTTCCCCAGCCACAAGTACCTCCCAAGAGGTTGGCTCTTGCAGCTGGAGAATTTCCCTTCCCCTGTTGGGGTGGGTGTGCGCTTGCGCTTACAGCCCCTCTGTCCCTCTCTAGAATGCGGGAATGACATAAATACTATTTAACTTTGATATGGGGAGGATTTGGCACATGGCTTTTTATTGTACTTTTCAAATATATTATGCTTTGTTGTTTAGTTCTGGTTAATGTCTGGCCAGTAAGCTACTAGCCTGCCTATGGAGAATGCTTGTGCTTGTGAGTGATTTGGTTGGAGACAGCTCTAGTCTGAAGGGAAGCATTCATCTATATGGTGTGTGTGGATGCGCATAATTAGACCATGTTACTGAACTCAAAGTCAGGGACACCTATACAACCTTACCTCCCACCAAAAAGTGCAGGCTCAGGGGGCCACCAAAACCACACCTCTCACCCATGGCTTGGAGTGGCTAGGAGCACACATGCCCATCTGGGAGGCCAGGCAAGGCATGCAGGCTCCTCTAGGCACCCATCCCATCAGCCCTGCAGGACTATCTCCCAGGTTGGCCAGTGGTGCTATTGGAACTGTGAGTGGAGTGCCAAGTGGCGCTTGGATAGAAGAAAGATAGAGACAGCAGGTGAGAGTTGCAGGAAGAGAGGGAGGGAGAGAGGAAGAAGAGCAGTCCTGATGGTCATGGAGAAAAATCACAGGCAGAGCATGAAAGGTGACAAAAAGCAAACTTTTGGAGTTTCTCGTCCATGGTCTCTCCCAGCTTCAGATGTTCTGGCCAAGATCACAAGGGAGTCAAGGTATGCCTCTGCTTGTTGCCCCCCCCCAATCACTGGACTTGCCAGTAAAAAGAGAAGAGCCTCACCTTGCAGGCATCTTGGCTGCTGTCCAGCTGTGCAGCACCAAGCATCCTGTCAGTGAACCGTCCTGGGTAGACATTGTTGCAAGTGGCATCAGATGTGACTGGAAGGTAGGAGCACTGCAGAAGGTTGTCTGTTCCATCAGCTGTAAGCCCAAAATATGTTGATCCTGAGCAGCTGCCTGGGGCAAGGCAGGAGGGAGACTCTTATGCTCAGGCCTCACCCCTCTCTCCTTGAGCTCTTTCTGCTTCAAGGGGGCACTGCCACCTGCCATGAATCTATCATAGTACAATGAATTGTTGGTGCCTCCCTCCCACCATTTGCCGTTCATCTACCCTTCCCTTTTTTGCATGGTGTCATTTATCCCATGCATCACTAAGGAACTTCAGTGCCCCCTTGCGTGTCCCCACCATAATCCCCCACGGCCATGAAGAGGGGCATCTTCCAGCAGCCCCCTGCTCCAGTCTGTCACAGTTGTTGCTGGTCCTGGTTAGTCTCTCAGCACCACCCTCTCTGTACTCACAGTTGCTGCTGATCCATTCTGAAGCCAGGCACTGGGTCCCAGCTATGGCACATTGGCTGGGCAAACTGATGGGCTGCACTAGCTCACCCAGGACAGCTGGTTGTGCAAGCTTGATGAGCATGATGTCATAGTCCAGTGTGTAGTTGTTGAACTGCTTATGAGGGACCAGCTTGGCAGCAGCAATGACCTGTTGCTTCTCCTTAGGAGGAGTCTCAGGGACTTGTAGGCCAAGCCAGACTTCCATGTGGTCTGGGCTGCTGGAAGAAGAGCAGGTGGGTCAATAGTGTTCTCCCTAGAGTTTTTCTGCCTCAGCCTGGGTTGAAAGATTCCTTGCTCACCCACAAGGATTCTTGTAGGCAGGCAGTCAAGTGCACAAGTTGCCCTCCTATTTCAAATGAGAACAGAGCAGCCAACAGCAGAGAGTGGACTTTATTCCCTGTGGGAGACAGATTGTGTGCAAAGGCTTATACCCACCTCCTGCTGCACTGAGTTGAGGACAACACCCATTCTTGGCTGATGAGGGCCCCACTGCAGATATGGTGCACTGACTGGAGGGAGACTTGCCACGGCACAGAATCTTGTTGGCACTTGGCACTACCAACCAACTTCTCAGCAGCTGCAACAGCTCAATATATAATTGGTAGAGGAAAAATCAATACTTTTTCACTGGTTAGGAACATGCTAAAATGCAATGTGGCCTTGTGAACTCAGGAAATGGTATCCAGCCTATCCCATGACATCTGTCAGCCAGACTACGGTAGCTAGATGAGGGCGCTGCATGCAATCTCTTCCTGCTAGTAAACAAAGGCTCAACTTTTTGCCACCATATCCTGCTTTCCACCTCCATCTCCCTGCATAGGAATCCTTTGAATTATTGGTCTCATATTGCAAGTAAGTGTGGCTGGCAACTGTTCCTGATTAATTTCTGCCAGAGTTCTACATACCATCACTCATACTGCTAAAATAAAAGCCACAGTTTTAAACCACAGGAAAGATCATAATGTATTATTGTAGACTATTCCAAAACAGTAACTATAACAAGTAACACTGCTGGTTTGCCCCATGTAATAGTGACATTTCCTCTTTGTACATCAGCCCAAATAATTGACTGCTTTTGATTACAGTATTCTGATACGAGCTGTTAATTTATTTTCTTACAACCATATATATGTACTGTATATGTGTATTATTATATATGAGAATAAAATCAGCATGAAAACATCATTAAAATGCCAATAAATACTAATTAGTTAACAGAGTTGAGATTCCTGCATTGCAGGGGATTGAACTAGATGACCCTAGGGGTCCCTTCCAACTCTACAATACTATGAAAGAAGATTCATGTTACAAAGGCTTCTCTAAACATTAAAGTTTTCAAAAGATGTCTGAAGGGAGGGATGGCTCTTGGTGGCAGGGAGTTCCACAGGGCAGTGGCTGCCACACCAAAGGCTCAATCCCTAATGACGTCCAGCTAAACCTCGGGGTTCATTGGGGTGAGGAGACCAGCAGAAGTGCCCCATCAACAGATCGTGGTGGTCACGTTGGAAAGTAAGTACTTTGGGGTCTCATGGTACTTTGGGACCAAGTTGCTTAGGGATATGTCAGTTTCACACACTGTTACAGAACAAATTCAGTGATGGACAGCACAGATTGACCAAATGCTGCTATGGTAAGTCTAACACCACTGAGCTTTTTTAATAAAGTGGGACTGGGTGAATAGTCTGAATGGTCAGTGTAGAGAATGGGTTTTTGGGTTGTATCCAACTAAGTAATACTCAGAGTAGTCCCACTGAAATCAGTGGACTTAAGTTAGCCATGCCCATTAATATCAGTGGGTTAAATCTGAGTATGACTGACAATGGTGATAGCCCTCCTGTATTTCTGTTTCCTGGCTTAACTGCCTGGTTCTCCTTCCCCTCCTCTGTTGCCAGGACACCTCTACTGGATTGATGGCCGTGGATTTGCATTCCAGCTTCTGTACTGCAGTTTTGTTCATCCTCACCCAACATTTCATGTCTATTCTTGGGCAGATAAACTGTCCAGATTTTTTTTGGGGGGGGATTGTACCTGCAAGAGCCGCCAGCAGTAAACTGCAACCCAGCCACAGCATGTTCTCTTCTCTCAAACTGGCCTCACTGAGAATGCGGAGTCCTGTGCATAGGCGCCGACTCCATGGGGCTTGAGGGGCCCGAGCCCCCTCAAAAATTCGTTTGGGGGGGCTCCGCCCCCCAATAATCTCCGGCGCCCCTCCAGCAGAGCGCCATCGCCGCCCTCCCCCAGCCCAAAATGCACAGGGAGGGGCGGGCTGCATGCCTCCTGCCCTCCCTCCCGAGCAAAAGCTCCACCCAATTCCTTTGGAGCTGATTAATAGGCACTATCTCAGTCAGTTTTTATTGCACATAGCCAAAGGCTGCCGCAATGTACACAGAATTATTTGACAGTTAAAAGTAAATATACTGAATTGGTAAAAAAAGGCTTAAAACATTTATATTATTAAAACATTACATACTCTAAACAAAGCTATAAAAGTACCCCAATGTACAAATAAAAACATTAAACAATAAAATTCATAAGCTAAAATCATCACATGGTCACTAATGTTTAAAACAATATCAATTAATAACAGTGTGCAATTTATACGGCAGAGTTTGGTGACAAGAATAGAGCATAGCCCTGGGTAGATAGATAGGATCAAATAAATTCATCTCCTTTACAGTTTAATGGCTAACCTTGGCTATATAATTGCTGCTAATTTTCCTGGCAGCAGTGCAAAAAGTGCTGACCCAGCGCCAGGCTCACATACTTATACTGTGATCTGCAAGGAGATCATACAATCATATCGAGGGGGTTCTGGCCAGGGGACCGCTGTCATTAATAGGGTACCAAAATCACTTTTTCTTGCATCATTATATAACGGAACAGTGCAAGATATAGATGCATAAGGTCCTCTACTTCAGAACATCCCTAATGCAACACGTTCGTCGTTTTTTGGTATGGCCGTCTATGTCCTCCATCTCGTATACAGCAGACTTATTTGTATTTAGTCGTAGCTCTGTAAAAGCTTTTCGCAAGCTGTGGCCAAAAGTCAATCATTAATTAAGACTATGGTGTTCATTGACTCTCTAAAGTTTTAAAAAATACAAATTGGGGCCCATGTAGATGTGCAGACACTAGAGTTTTAGATCGTTTTTAGTTGGCCACTGTTCCCTTAATGTTTGTTTAAAATATTTTTCTGTGCAATAATAAGGGGAGTTCTTTTAATCTCAGTCACTGAGAATCATATTTGGCCCATCAGTTGTCAGCAGTGAATGTACCCAGGTTTTTAAGGGGTAATTCCATTTTGAGGAGCTCAAATCAGGCATTTTTTTTGGTAGCCTATGTGTCCCATCTGTTTGACTTAAACCAGTAACAGAGAATTCTTTTATCTATTTGGCTTCTATGCTCAACATGCTGAGTTCCAACCTGACCCATGGCAGATTGCACGTCTTTTGGGCTAAAACCTAAAGAACTCTTAAAAAATAATTCTGTGGGGGTTCCAGACCGGAACCTTTGAGGTACCCCAACCTCTGCGCCATATAAAATCTGGGCCATTGTTTTTGCTTTATACACAGATAGCAGCTGGGTTGACCAGATTTCCACCTTACATGCAGCGAATTTCAGAAATGGCTTTTGCTGATTTAAAGGCTTGCAATTTGATATGGGATAGCTGTGTATTCCAAGATGCCGTTCTGAATAAATCAATCCCAGATATTTAACCGTATTTACTTGGTTTATGATGTGTTCATTCAGGTGCCAAACATGCTTTTTGAACGCTCCCAATACAATGACCTGCGTCTTGTCATAGTTTATAGATAAGCATTCCTCATGCAATATGAACTTAATTTTGCAAGCGACCGTCTCAGGCCCAGCCTGGGTTCTAGATACAAGTACTAGGTCATCAGCATACATTAAAACTGAGAGTTTTGGTCGACGAATTGTGACAGGGCAAACTGTAGGCCCTCCAGTTCTTTAACCATGTCATTAATGATAAAGATTGAACAGGAAAGGTGCCAAAATGCATCCCTGTTTTGACTCCAGTGGTGGTCTTAATTCTAGTGGTGAGATGGCCAGGCCAGATCCACCTTTACTTGTATGATGTGTCAGTATATAATGTTTTTGATGAGAAATAAGTAGACGGGAGATCTATATTCTGTCTTTTTCCAGTTTTTGCCACAGAAGCGTGTCTTGGGACCGTATCAAAAGCTGACTTTAGATCGATAAAAGCAACATATAATTTTTGCTTCAAGTTATGATGTATTTACATAGCAGAAAGTTCAGCACAAAGCACTGGTCCAATGTGGATTTCCCTCTTTGGAAACCTGCCTGGACTTCAGATAATCACCTTATTTGTATCTGCCCATTCTTCTAGTCTCCCAAGAAGGAGCCTGGCATATAGTTTGGAGGCCTACATCTAACAAACTAATGGGTCTATAATTGCAGGGTTTTTCTTATCACCCTTTTTATATATTGGGGCAATTATGCTCAACTTCCACCCTTCAGGTATACGACCTGAGCTGTTAATGTATGAAAACAATTTTGCAATATGGGTGACCAGAAATCAGGTCTTATTTTATAGATCTCCATTGGGATCATGTCTTCTCCTGGAGCTTTATTAGCTAGTTGGCTTGCGATTAGCCTCTTAATTTGATTCTGGCAGTTTCTGATAACTGGGGTATAGTAAACTGTGGGGATAGGGCAGGGCAGGGGCCATATATTTCTGTAAAATATGTCACCCAATCCTTTCCTTGGACAGATGCTTCTAACGAGTAGCCCAGCGCATTTGTGCCTTGGGCAACCAGATGCCAAAATTTCCGTGAGTCCTTCTGAAGTGCTGCATCTCCCAATTCTTTCCACTGTTGTTCATAATATATTTGTTTCTTGCTTTTAAGTAATATTATAGTTGTTTCGTAACTGGGCTACCTCAGCTTGTAGGCAAGATTGTGCTTATCCTGTTTTAACTTCAATTTTCTAAGTACCCTAGCTAGGCATTTTTTGCTATTCTGACATTCCTTATCAAACCAAGTCTGTCTCTTAAAACTTTTTGTTTTTTATCACACTAGCTGTGGTCATCAGTGGGCGCATTTGGTTGATTAATGTTCTCATAAAGTCAATTACGTTTCCTGTTTCTAACAACATTTTCCCCTTTAATAAAGCAAATTCATGGGAATCAGGATCTGAATCATTTTTTCTTGACCTGTGCATTCCCATTTTAACCTTCTATTTCCAAGTATCAGATATTCTGTTTCATCCAATAATTTAGGAAAGGCAGGAGAAAAGAATAATGTCAGAGATAACTCAAGTGGAAGTGGTCACTTTCAGCTCTAGGAATTATCCTGAAGGTATCTCGGTTAACTGGCACATTATTAAGATGTTAGGATATAATCTATGGTGCTAGTAAATCCTCTGGGGGAGGTAAAAGTAAAATAACCC